CTGTGAGGAGGTGTGTGTGTGGGAGCGGGGGGGGGGGGGGGGGGTAGCTTTCCATGCTTTTAATTCCTGAACCAGTTTTTTCCGCATCGGAATGATGTATGGCAGAATCAGGCAGTGAACCTTTAAGGAGGCCAAATTTAGGATTAATTTGTCCTGCTTAAAAAAAGTTCTTGTCAACAGGGGCTGGTAGTTCTGTTTCAGAAGCACACACAATTCCTGGGGTGGTGGAATTTATATCCCTACCAAACGGGAGGGGGGACGCTCATGGGATTGAGGGGGGTGGAGTGGGGGGAGGGGAGCCACTCATTTCTCTAACTGTCAGCTTCACAACAAAAAGTATTTCTGCATGTATTTTGCTGGGGATGCTATTGAGTAAACCGACCTGCCTCCCTCTTGCCTTTTGGCATGCATTTTACTCTTTCCTTTAATATGAAATTATTTGTTTAACGTGAACCTTTGTTGATTGCATTTTGATCTAATGTCATTTGGTAGCTGCAGAACTTGGAGTGTAAGCCAGTTCTACAAGAGGTTCCTTTGTTGAGTCCCTCTCTCTTTCTCATCTGTGTATATAAGTATGGGACCACTCCGTCCCTTCATGAACATGCACTTTCAAAAATGAGTTTCACGCAGAGCATGGATTTTAAAACCTTTTTCGATATCTGCATGCTGTCAAAGTGGAAGACTTGACTGTCAATTGCTTTGTTGTTTTGGATTCTGTTGATGGCTTGGCATGAGCACGGGAGAAAGATCTCTCCCTGTTCTCCATCTCTTGCCACATCCCTGCCACCTACCCTCTTTCCCACCACCTTGTCCTTGTTCCTAGACGCTTCATTTCTAAGCAGGACAGGTTTGAGTTCTCGCCCTTGCAAAAATTGTTGAGGATAAATAATGGCTGATTTCAAACGCGTTAACTTTTGGCAGTTGTACAGATTGGCAGGACGTATCGGATAATCTATCCTGGTCACGCTTCATGCAATGCAAAAGCAGCCTGTAATTGTAAGCAGGGTGGATTTTTAAAAAAAGATTGGGCAGGTGCATCTGTGATGCTTAGCTGAGTTACTGTGAGGTTATGACTATTCTGACTGCTCTAGGTCAAAGGGTCTGCAATAGAATGTTGACAAACAGTTGCTTTGCAGGAGGTCAAGGTTGGTCTTTCCCATATTGTACAGGAGGAATATGAATATGATAGGAATGGAGTGAAGAGAAAAGATGTGGGTTATCGGGGAAGAACATTTTCTGGCGCTTCGCTTACAAAATGAGGAAGTTGTATCAGTCATTGATATTCCTTTTACCATCATGACAATGGCAGAAACCAGAGGGCAGAGGCTGATGAGAAGGGGAGAGAGTGTTTCATACCTGTACAGTGCAATCATAAGGACACTTTCCTGGGAGTAAGCCCCATTGAGTAGACCACAGTAGGGTGCTAACTAGACCTGCTTAGGATTGCTCTCTTAGTTACTCGAACCAATGGATATCTAGCTACAGTGAATTAATGAGAGCTCTGTGCATGCGCAGAGTACCTATCCCTGTGTCAGTAACCATGTGTATGGGCTGCAGGGAGATTTATATTTGGTCAGAGAGTGGGATTTCCAGGCAGACATGAGCTCTGGCGCTTCCCATAGCTAATTTCGGTGAGAAGGTAACAGTGTTACCTTGGTGCCTTGGTGTTTAGTCATGCCGGCCACATGACCACGGAAACGTCTTCGGACAGCGCTGGCTCTTCGGCTTTGAAACGGAGATGAGCACCGCAACCCTAGAGTCGGATTCGACTGGCTTTCGAGCAAGGGAAACCTTTACCTTTAATTTGTTATCCCCTCTGACAAAGGGAGCTCTCTGACCAGTGTTCCCTCTAAGCTGAGTTAGTGTGAGCTAGCTCACAGTTTTTTTAGCCTCCAGCTCACACATTCTTGCCTTAGCTCCGGAAGGATGGCTCCAGTGCAAAGTAATTTATGCAGCAGCCAAATGGCTCGCTCACAACTTTAATGCCAGTAGCTCAAAAAGTAGAATTTTTGCTCACAAGACTCCACAGCTTAGCGGGAACATTGGCTCTGACTCCTGAAAACTTAGGCCCTGGACATTTTGTTGGTGTCTAAGGTGCTCCTGGCCTGGAATCCAGCTTGTAAAAAGGGCTTACTGTTATATTCCTGTATATGTATTCAAAGGGATTGGGAGGAATGTCCTTATGTCACTGCAAGGGCAAAGGGGCAGGTATTCATTTCTCTGATTGTCTCTGGCTGAGGGCCAGACTAGAT